AAGGAAATGCATTGCCTCATGTCCAGCAAAGTCCAGGGTGGATTCAGGAGAAGCTGGCTCAAGGCATTCCTAGGAGGTCATCAAGGAGCTGCCTGTACCTCTGTCTTCAGGCCAGCATCTTCTGACTTGGCTTTATTCTCAAGCAGGCTGTCATTAAGTGATGGCTTAACAACAATTTAGCAACCGTGGCAGGAAAGAGAATCATGCCTGATAGCTCCAGCAAAGTATCAGAGAGTCTTCCCCCTTGAGCCAATCACTGCAGCCAGAGGGATGTGGTTCTTGGACTAGCCAGATCTGAGACATACTGCATGGGCCCCTATTTGTGCAGAATTTGCCCCTGACTACATTCCCAGAGGGTCTTTGGATGTTTGGTTAGATGGTCTGTACTCTGGGGGGATCAATTCATACCAGCAAGATCCAATCAGCCCCTACACCTACCACCGCCTCTCTAGTGGAAGCTGCTTTTGCATCTAATTGTCTTGGGAACTGTGCTGGTTTTCTCTTGCTGCTGTAAGAAATTGCCACAAATTTAGTGGCTTATAATAACATACATTTATTATCTTACAATTCTTGAGGTCAGAAGTCCAAAACCAGCCTCACTGGACTACAGTCAAGGTGTTAGTTCCTTCTGGAGGCTTAAAGGGACAATCTGTTTCCTTGTCTTTTCTAGTTTCTAAGAGGCTACCTGCATTTCTTTGGCTCATGTCCCCTTCCTCCATCTTCAAAGGCAGCGGCAAAGCATCTTCTCTCCTCTCTGACTTCTGTTTCCATCCTTATATCTTCTCACTGACTCTGATCCTCCTGCTTCCATCTTAGAAGGACTCTTGTGATTACATTGGGCATACCAAATTCAGAAATTCAGATAATCAAGATCTTTAATTCAATCACATCTCCAAAGTCCCCTTTACCATGTAAGACAACATATTCACAGCCTCTGTGGGTTAGAATGTGGACATTTTCAGGGCATCATTATTCAGCCTACTGCAGGGATTATCCACTCTATTTAAAAACCTGGACTTAGACAGAGAAAGAGTAGACTGAAGCTCCTGCACCGGAGTGGGGAATTGTAGATAGTCCTCTAGGAAGGTGACTTTGTACCTGCTTATAGGTTGAGTTATTCACAACAGCAATATTTATTTGCTTCTTGGGTGTATTTAGATTGTCCTTTTTGAGCTTTTTGTGGGTTTTTCTCCACAGAATTGTGTACTCATAAAAGAGGTATCCATATTGCCTCAAAGCCACCAGGTTCTGATGAGCCATACCCATTATCTTCTTTCTCCATTTTGTTCACAGCAATTACTTTGTGCCCATCAAGTGGGAGGCAGTGTGCTGAGGAAATACAAGATTCTCCAAGACATACTCCTTTCTCTTGTGGAACTTATGTCTAATGGAGTAGAAAGGCACGCACGCAATTATTTTTAACCCAAGGCGCAGGATGTGCTAAGTGATATAAAAGTGACAAACTAAGGAGTGTGGGAAGACAGCAGGAGACATCAGTTCCAGCTTCCAGGGGTGTCAGATCATGCACCCCAATTCTTGGTTCAGAAATATGATCACTATATGCACCTGAATTTCAGGTTATTAACTATTGCAGGCTAAGAATTTTAGGGCTTTAAAACATAGTATGATGTGTTTTTTCTTCTTTGTCTAGGGTGTTTGGATCAAAACAGGTGCTCAGCTCTGATGATTCATGTGAAATCACTTCTACTCAAGGTTGACTAAAGTTGAGAATGATGAAAATTTTCCAGTCAAAGCAAAAGTTAGGAAGAAAACCTGGTTAGTTTTCTTACTTTTTGCAGAATCTGAATGGGTTAACTTCCGTAACCTGGGTCATACTCTGAAAAGGACAGGTTTCCCATGGCTGACCTGCAAATACCCAGTGTGGCTGGCTTTCCTAGTCGAAAAGCTATAGCTCTTCCTCACATGTCCTTTCAGGGGCAAAGGGGAATCTCTACTAAGAGCTCTCTCCTGCCCAGAATGCAATTTTAGAAAATACAGCTGACTTCTCTGGGAAAAACAAAACCAACCTTGTCTTACTCTGGTCATGGAAACCAACTTGGCACCTCATTATCGCCTTGTTAGCAAGAACAGGCTGCATGATGGACAAACCTGGGAGGAAGAGTTGGCCCAGCGTGGCCAGGGTTTTCAGTTAAGCTTAATTGCTCTTCTAAAGCTCAGCTACTTAATATTACACAAGTCGAAATTTATCGTCAGACTCTTGATCATCCATCCTCCTCTTCCTTCCGTATTCGTGCCTACATAGATATCGGTGCCTCCCCATTCTGCTGCTGTTGAATTTGTGGTGGGCCACCAAAGGGCCCCCAAGGCTTGTTTGCAACCAGCTCGACTCCCCAAAGGAGAACAGGGCTGTAACTACCTTTAGCTTTGAGCGCCCTCTTCCCCCATATTTTAAAATGCAGCTAGCTGGTGCTGCCCTTGGAGCATAGCAGGGCTGCTGGCTGGGGAAGGTGGTGCCTTTTTAACATCTTATAGGCAATTTTTGATTTTTCATACAAATGGGAAAGAATAACAAAGGTATTTTATCTGGCTCTCAAATGTGCTTTGTACTTACATTTAAATGTGGGTGTGCCTGACGTTCTGGGAACTCCCTGCCAACAAGACAGTGTGGCAGCTTATGTCACTTGCCCTTTTCCTCCTCACCTGAGCTAGTCCCCCACCTAAGTGTCCAACAACAGATGAACAGATCTCCTTTTTGTTTCATTATCGTTGGATTTTTACTGTACAGAACCTGTGACAGTAGAGACTAAGGTGTCCCAGTTATGCAATGTCTACCCTGTGCTGCCTAAGCATGCTTATTGTACAGCATGCATTGTCCATGGCAACCCCAATTTCCAATTTTCCAGTCCCCTTCTCCCCATTCAGATGTCCTAGAATTCCAGTTTATCAACATCCTGAACATATTTCCTGATGACACCCACTTTTCAGAGGGGAATCTAAAACCTGGAAAATATGGTCTTAACCAAAGATTCCCTGCCTGCCTGTGGTAACCACATATCCCAGACGTTCTGGGAAAGTGTTTCCAGTTTCCAGATCATGCACACTGATTTTTGGTCCAGAAACCACTATAACCAACCAATATAGGTCACATGAAAGACACATGTCAGACAGACACCCTTTGTGCAGTAACATTCGGTGAGAGTCTATCGTTGCCCACTACTTCAAATTCAGATTTTTTTACTTGTAATTTTTTGGTTATTCCTTATGCTAGTTGAGTTTGAGAGCTCAGTTGAAGGGAACTGTGATATTGTGAGATTTGGTCTTCATCAGGTTTCCTAGCATACAACTCCAAAAGTCTTTGGAATCACATAAATATCTTTTTGTATGCTAATGAGTTGACAAATGTCTGGCAGCCCTTTAGGATGGGATCTGGTTACTGGAAAGCCCACGGCAGCATGGAAGGATTGGGACTTTCAGCCCCACCCCCAACCTCAGGGAAGGTGAATGCCGCCGAAGGTAGAGTTAATCACCAATGGCCAATGATTTAATCAATTATGCCTGTGCAATGAAACCTCCATAAAAACTCAGAAAGGACTGGGACATGTGGAGGTTCCTGGAGAGGGGGGTGCCTGAGAGGTCGTGGGAGTTCTGCACCCCTTCCCACACACTTTGCCCCGTGCACCTCTTCCATCTGGTATTCACTGGCATCCTTTGTCATTTATCCTTTCTAATAAACCAGTAAAACCAAGCAAGTCCCTGAGTTCTGGGAGCCTCTTTAGCAAGTTAGTCTAACTCCGATTTACAGCCAGTTGGTCAGAAGTACAAGTAAAACAACCTGGGGCTTGTGATTGACATCCAAAGTGGGGGACAGTCTTGTGGGGCTGAGCCATCAACCTGTGGGATCTGACACTTTCTCCAGGTAGTGTCAGAATTGAACTGGAGGACACCCAGCTGGGGTCCACAGCAGAACTGGTTGCTTGCTTGGTGTGTGGAGAAAACCTCCCACACATCTAGTGTCAGAAATGATTCGTGTTGTGAGAGTATAGGAGATGCTGAATTTGTTTGTGCCTGTATTCAGACAGGAAGACAATTCATGTTGCTTTTGGATGTGAAATGAGGACAAGGATGAAATAGTGTTTGGCACAAATGTAAACACGATCCACTCTGTAGGCAATTGTGAAGCCTGCCTTTTTCACTTAACATTAGAGCATATAGATTTTCTCATGTCATTAAAGTGGTTTTGTTTTTGTTTTTTGTAACAGAGACTTTGGCAAATTCAAGATAATGTTTACCATTGGCTATGATGGGGAAGGGTGAGGTGGGGAAAGCAGGTAACCAAGGGAGATTTATCGTGTTGGAATGTTCTCTGTCTTAAACTTGGTGCTGGGTACTCTTTTTTGAATGTCCTAAATGTTACATAATAAAGTAGAAATTTAAACACCAAGTTTAATGATTACTTAATATTTTATTATGTTGGTGTACCATAATTTCCTCAGTTCAAATCCCATCTCCCTATTGTTGGATATTTGTAATTTTCAACTTTGGACTCTTAAATAATATAGTATTAAGCATCTTTGGGTATCAAATTTTATCTTCATTTGAGCTCCTTTTCTCAGTTTAGATTTATATAATTGAATGCCAGGGTCAAAGAATATGTCTATAATAAATGCATTTTGTTAGACTATCTTTTAACAAAGCTATATGCGTTGATTATCACTGACATTGTGCCTATTCTACTCTCTCTCCAACACAGTGTCATTTTTTAAAAATTGCTATTTTGCTAGACGAATATTTATTTCGAATGGTTTTAGTTTATGTTTCTACTTGCCAGTGAAATTGAACGTTCTGTCATATAATTTTTCCATTGGAGTTTTTTTCAAATGAGTATGTGTGAGCACAGGTTTTTGCAGATTCACTTGTATGTGGGACCTGTGTGGGAAGGTCTTCTTTATGTGGGGGCGGGGACCACAGATAACAAACAACAGCCCCTTGCCCCCCTCACTGAAAACGAGCTGTGCATCTAGACCTCTGTCTTCCTGCAGTGCCGCCAAGCTCCTGGACAAGAACCCGTTCTCGGTCAGTAACCCGAACCCTCTGCTTCCTTCACCTGCCAGTCTCCAACTGGCTCAACTGCAGGCCCAGCTCACCCTCCACCGGCTGAAGCTGGCACAGACAGCAGTCACCAACAACACTGCGGCCGCCACAGTCCTGAACCAAGTCCTCTCCAAAGTGGCCATGTCCCAGCCTCTCTTCAATCAACTGAGGCATCCGTCTGTGATCAACGCCCCCCACGGCCATGCTGGGGTGCCCCAACATGCTGCAACCATACCCAGTACCCGGTTTCCCTCTAATGCAATTGCCTTTTCACCCCCCAGCCAGACACGAGGTCCTGGACCCTCCATGAACCTTCCCAACCAGCCCCCCAATGCCATGGTGATGCATCCTTTCACTGGGGTAATGCCTCAGACCCCTGGCCAGCCAGCGGTCATCTTGGGCATTGGCAAGACTGGGCCTGCTCCAGCTACAACAGGATTCTATGAGTATGGCAAAGCCAGCTCTGGCCAGACATATGGCCCTGAAACAGATGGTCAGCCCGGCTTCCTGGCAGCCTCGGCCTCAACCTCGGGCAGCATGACCTATGAAGGGCACTACAGTCACACAGGGCAGGATGGTCAAGCTGCCTTTTCCAAAGATTTTTACGGACCCAACTCCCAAGGTTCACATGTGGCTGGCGGATTTCCAGCTGAACAGGCTGGGGGCCTGAAAAGCGAGGTCGGGCCACTGCTGCAGGGCACAAACAGCCAATGGGAGAGCCCCCATGGATTCTCTGGCCAAAGCAAGCCTGATCTCACAGCAGGTCCCATGTGGCCTCCACCCCCCAACCAGCCCTATGAGCTGTATGACCCCGAGGAACCAACCTCAGACAGGACACCTCCTTCCTTCGGGGGTCGGCTTAACAATAGCAAACAGGGTTTTATCGGTGCTGGGCGGAGGGCCAAGGAGGAACAAGCGTTGCTCTCTGTGCGGCCCCTGCAGGCTCACGAGCTGAACGACTTTCACGGTGTGGCCCCCCTCCACTTGCCACATATCTGTAGCATCTGTGACAAGAAGGTGTTTGATTTGAAGGTAAGTTGTCCAAGACAGGCTGGGAGCCACAGCTAGAAGCCTGGGCAGGCCTTTCCCCATGACCCAACTCACGCTGCCAGTGGGCAAGGAACTTTTGCATTGGGGTAACAGAATTTTGCCATCAGTATTCTTGACTAAAATCATAGGTATTAGGACCCAAAGGAATTTCAGAAATGTATCAGGACCAGTCCCTTGCTTGAAGGTGAGTCAGAAATTCTTACACACTTTTTATAGATGAGAAAGCTGAGACTGAGTAGGGGAGCAAAGGACCCCATCTGGGTTGCTGAGAAGGGGCTCAGGAACTCGAGTTTCCTGCCCTCTTATGGAGCGCTTCTCCCCTGTGGTATACCTAGAAGCTACTGCCCCTTGAGTACCCATACTGTAGTGAGTTAGAAAGGAAATAAACCAGAATTTTGAATTAGGGGAAATAGGTTAATTCCCCCTTGGAACCGAGACAAATTATTATAGAGAGCCTCAGGTTCCTCATCAGCAAAGTGGAGAGAGAGCCTCATGACACCTTCCCGGTGGTTGGAAAATGCCTTGAGTTGCTGCACACAGAGGTGTATGATAGTATAATTTCCCCCCAAACAATGTATTGCAGGTGCAGTGAAATATTTTGAAGCAACAAAAATTATAACAATTACCATATATTAAACCCTTTCTGTGTGCCAATAGTAACTCTTATGAGGCAGATATTATTATGATTTTCATTTTACAGATGAGAAAACTGAGGCCCAGAGAGATGAAATGACTTTCTCAGCCCCTTCCCCCTGCCACCTCCCCAGCTTAAAAGTGGCAGAGTGGAGATTCAAATGTGGGCCTGACCCTTCCAGAACCTGCACCATTTAAGCACCGAGCTGCCCCGCCTCCCATCCCTTATCCTGTCCAAAAGCATAATAATGTCCTTGCAGAGTGTGAGTGACACTGCAGCATGTCATTCACCTCTATTTGGGTCACATCATCCAAATGCATCCCTGTGACCCAGATGGGACATGCCCTCTGACCTCCAGTCTTGGGAGGGGGCTAGCTGACACTGGGAGGTGCTCAAGGATTTTGTCTCTCATGAACCTTTTCTAAGGCTTTGTAAGTCACTGTGAGTCTACCTGCCAGATTCTCCCAACTGGATATGAAATAGATGGGGTCTTCCTGGGGGAAAGGAGAAGGGGTGGGAGGTGGGAGGTAGGTTGTGGGTGCAAGGGTCCATTGAGAGGGGTAGAGGGAATCCAACTTGTGAGTCCGGGCTCCTGTTCAAGATGGGCATGAGATGGGTGGATGAGGAGCCGATGGAGCAAAGGCTGGATGGGGAGGCAGGAACAATGGGAGGAGCCTGGGAGGGAGAGCAGGAGGGTGGGGGATGTGTCCGCAGGGGTGGTCTAGCCTCTGGGAGCTCTGTGCTCCCTGCCTGGCCAGTGACTCTGTGCTCATCCTTTGCCTTCCCATGGACTCAGTTCTACTTTGGTCACTTTTTTTTCTTTCTGACCTAGGACTGGGAGCTGCATGTGAAAGGCAAGCTGCACGCTCAGAAATGCCTGGTCTTCTCTGAAAAGTAAGTGCAGTTCAGGAGGACAGGCTCATGCATCGGCTCAACACATATTCACTGAGCATTTACCGTGTGTCATACGCTGTTTTGAGTCCTGGGGCAATAGCAGAGACCAGAACAGGCAAAGTTCCTGCCCTCAAGGAGCTTATGCTTCACAGGGGCCAGAGAGATGATAAACAAAATGAACAAGAAAATTACAGCATCCCTGGTGGTAAATGCTAAGCAGAAAACACCGGGTAGAGGCGGGAAGTGTGTGTGCGCGCGTGTGGAGGCGGGAAGTGTGTGTGCGCGCGTGTGGAGGCGGGAAGTGTGTGTGCGCGCGTGTGGAGGCGGGAAGTGTGTGTGTGCGCGCGTGTGGAGGCGGGAAGTGTGTGTGTGCGCGCGTGTGCCTCCCTTTTCTGGCTTTCATATTTTTTCATTGTAGTCAAGTTCACATAGGACTTACTATTTTAAATACTTTGAAGTATACAATTCAGTGGCATTTAGCACATTCACAAGATTGTGCAAATGTTACCACTCTCTAGTTCCAGAATATTTTCATTACTCCAAAAGGAAACCTCATACCCATTAAGCAATCACTCCCTATTCTCTCTAAGCCAGCCCCTGGCAACCACCAATCTGCTTTCTGTCTCTATGGATTTGCCTGTTCTGTACATTTCTGTAAATGGAATCATATAATATGTGGCCTTTTGTGACTGGCTTTTTTTTTTTACTTAGCATAATATTTTCAAGGTATATCCATCCATGTTGTAATATGTACAACCTTTCTATGGCTGAACAATATTCTATTACATGTATTATCACATTCTTGTTTATCTATTCATCTTTTGATGGACATTTGGATTGTTTCCACCTTTTGACTATTGTGAATAGTGCTGCTAGGAACATTTGGGTATAGTTTTTGTTTTAACACCTGTTTTCAACTATTTGGGGGTCTGTACCTAGGAGTGGAATTTCTGGGTCACATGCTAATTCTTTGTTTAACTTATTGGGGAGCCGGTTTCCCTTTCTCGCCCTCTCCAGTGCTGGCATCCGGTGTATACTTGGTTCGGCAGAGGGAACATTGTGTGCTTCTCCTAACAGCACAGCTGTTTATAGCCCTGCTGGGAATGAAGGTGAGCGAGGCCCTACAGGTCAGCAGCTTGAAGCAGAAATGGGCTTCCCACAGGCACATTATGTCCCATCTTCAATAACCAGGACTTCCCTGATGTCCCCTTCTTATGCATATAGAAAGCAAACAGATCCCAAGACACTAAAATGCACTGGGCCTGCTGTCTGGAGTCATCAGTATTCTCTGAGATACTTTAGGCATAAAGCTTTGCTGATTATCAGCATGTCCAGAGGTATAGTCATGTCAATCACTAATAATATGTGAAGGGGAAAGGTTCGGTTTTCTATGCCTGCTTATGTCCTAATAATGACTTTTGATGTTAAGTTCTGGGTTTTCATCGAGTTTGTGTAATTCGTCATTTAGATTATGCCTCAAATCTTGGAACATCATACGTGTCCATTCCAGCAAGGTCATTTGCTCAGTCAAGCCCCACATTTCCTTTGGCTTCTGCGGGGACAACTGTGAGTACAGAAACATTTTCTCCAGAAATTAATGAAAATTATTATTAGTTTATTTATTTGTTTGTTTATTTATTTGAGACAGCCAGGCTGGAATGTCGTGGTGCAATAATATGTCACTGCAGCCTTGAACTCCTGTCCCCAAGTGATCTTCCTGCTTCGGTCACCCAAAGTGCTGGAATTACAGGTGGCCAAAGTGCTAGGATTACAGGTGTGAGCCACCATGCCCTGCCTCAAATACCTCTCTGTGTGCTGGTCACCCTGAAATGCTTGTTGCTTTCCCCAGCACTGTGTTCTTCATGCTCAGTATGCACCTGACATGCCACAGACTGGGAGGATGTTAACATCTTTTTCACTTAAAGAATAGAGAGTTGGCTGGCTTTTGAGCTCTAGACTCATTTATACCTTGTACCCTTCAATTTACCACTCTGGGAATCACACTCTCTAGTTTCCAAGATGATATCACCACTAGTGAGGTGAGCATGTGACTTAGGCAGCCCGGGAGATCATCATACTTGCTGGCCATAGATTGGTTCATGAATGGTGTGCACCTGTAGTCCCAGCTACTTGGGAGCCTGAGGCAGGAGAATCACTTGAACCTGGGAGGCAGAGGTTGCAGTGAGCCGAGATCATGCCACTGCACTCCAGCCCAGGTGACAGCGGGACTCCGTCTCAAAACAAACAAACAAAAAACCATTTTCTCCATTGTCATTGTTATCCTCAAGCATTTGTATGGGCCTAGAGGTGCTGATCTGGCTTTGTGTCATTCAGAAAAACATCCCCAGACAGAAGTTAAGAGCTGTTTAATCCAGTTCATCTAGTATGGAAACACATGACTTAAGAAGCTGACATAAATCCTTAAAATTGAAGGCATTCCTGGACTTTCTAGCATTCAGCGCTGGCTTAGAAAAAAATAAGTTTGAGCTTTTTATGTTTTTTTAAAGACTATTTGATGTTTTATTGAAGTGGGTTATTTCCTAGGAGAAGGTAATTTTGAAGCTCGAACCAGAAAACGTGTGAAAATAAGGACTATGCGCTGAGCATTTGTTGGCCCCTTGAGGAACCAGTTGGTGCTGTATAATGTTTTTGTTTGTTCGTTTTTAGTTTTGCTGTCTCTACAATACACACTTTAGTCCTCCAAAGCTCCTAAGCTTCGTCTCTCCTTTTTCACCAATGGTGACAGCTCCTCTTCTCTCTGGGGTTTCAGTTGTTTTGTGCCACCACCCTACCCACCATCTGACTTCTCTTCTTCTTCCCTGGGCAGGAGAAAGGGGAGTGGGAGGAAAGCTGACTGTAAAACAAATGCGTTTGTCTGAACCCTCTGGAGGGCACCTGTTTGTATGCCTTAGCCTGTGCCTGTGTTTTTGTGGTGTGAGTTGCTGCAGCCTTTCTCTCTTGTCCTGCGAGTGAACACAAACTCACAAGAGCATGTCTCCACGTGCTGTCCCTTCTATGTGTTGGCATGCAAAACATCAGGCCAGTAAGCCATGAAGCGCAGCTCTCAGGCTCTGGGGAGTGAGTAAGTGGAAAAGCGGTGGTTCGTGATGAGATGTGAGGCCTGCCTGAGCCCAGGCTTCTGTTTATTCGTGTGCATTGATCTGTAATGTTGAATAGGAGAAGCGCTTTGAGAGAGTCCCTGTCTAGAAGCCCACATTTTGGTGAAAGAGAATTTTGTGGTTTCCTTCTTTGCACTCTGCTCACTCAGAGCCACGCCCAGGTCAATGGCAGCTTTGGGTCAGTCCCAGGAGCCTGCAATGGCTAGATTCAGTGAGGCCTGTCCTCTGAGGTCAGATTCCTGGTGACATGACCTCTTGTCCTGATGGAAGTGTGGGCCATGGAGGAACTTCTGTGCTCACAACCCTGCCCTGAGACCCCACTCCAGGCACTGAAGGGGAGGGACTGTGACCACGATGGGGGAGGCTGGATTGGGTGTCAGGTGGGCAGGGGCCAGGGCTTGTAAATTGACTCCAACCTGGGATATGGGTACGGGGAGGAGATGACATCAACTGAGCCCCTCTGTAAACCGGGGTGGATAGGGAGAGAAGTGACACAGGCAGGACATTCTGCAGTCTGTCCCAGGCCTCTTCCCCACGCTCCAGTGCTGCCCATTGAGCCAGAGACCCTTTCCTATGGACTTGGCTCTAGGGACCTAAGTTCAAGTCCTACTTCTGGAGCCACTTGCTGTGTGTCTCCAGGCAAGTCACGTTACTTCTCCGAGGCTCTGTTTCCTTAAGTGGGAACAATAATGCCTTTGGAAGATAAAGTAAACAACTGGATTTTCATCCAGCTTGTGTAATTTATTGTTTTGATTATTCCTCGAATCTCAGAACATCCCATGCAGCCCTGCAGCCCAGGCTTCTGGTTCAGTGGCCAGCACCAGACAGTGGGAGCAAGGCTTGGCATAGACCCAGTATTGTCTTGCCCTTGTGAGGATCAAATGAGATAATATAAGGGACAATGATTTGGGAACTGTCAAGTACATATGAAGTAACCATGGCTGCTGTTGAGTAACGAGCGCTTTTAACCCATTTTGGCTGTGAAGAGTGGAGGGGAAACCCACCCTGTCTAAGGCTGGCTCTGTCTGCTGGCCACAGGATTTTGTCCAAGTCTTGGTATCAGTGTTCCCCTTATACAAATCTGTCTAGTAATACCCAGGGTCACCCTTGCTCCACCTTAGAGATGTTTTGAGGTTCCCGTGAATGTATTTTTAAATTATGCACCAGTGGGCAAGCACAAGCAATCTGATGATTTGTGTGTTGATTCTAATTAATTCCTAGGAGCTCTGAGTGCAACTTCCTCCAAACGCCTAGAGATGGGGAGTTTATCTGACTTGAGCCTGGTGAGAAGCAACACAAGAAACATTTTGCTAGGAGCTAGGAGGTGACAGAGACCTAGGGGACAGCTCTCTGCTAGAGCTAGGAGGGGACAGAGAGCTAACATTTTGGGAGCTAGGAGGGGACAGAGAGCCCCAGACATTGTAGGATGATAATAACAACAATAGCCAACATTTATGTAGTGCTCAATAGGTTCTTAGCATTTTTGTTTTGTATTAGCTCATTTAATCCTCTAGACAACCCTGTGAGGTGAATACTATTATTATCCTTATTGTACAGTTGGGAAACTGAGGCCTAGAGAAGCTGAGTACCTTATCTAAGGCCACATAGCTGGTAATTGGAGGTGGTGGGATTTAAACCTAGGCAGCCTAGCTCTGGAAGTCTTATTTGAAACCACTAAGCCCTGCAGCCTCTCTGCAAGGATCTGAGGGGTGTCTTCCTTGCTGTGATCCTTCTCTTTAGTAAGCGCCTCTCACCTCCTCCTCCCCCCGCCCCACAAGCCGCTTGGGAGGTTCCGAGGCTGCGTTGGAGGTGACAGGGACTTCTCTGGCCTTGGCCACTCAAGGATCAACCTGAAGAGGCCAGCCACACCTGGTATCCACATTCTTCTGCACTCGGACAGCATCTGCCAAGATGAACTCAGATGTTTGGAGGCTTTTTCTACAGACCCTGTGGAAGGGGAGAATCAGCATTTGTCTGGTTTTATCATTATAACTTTTGTGACATCTTGCTGGTCACATGAGCCTCCCCAAGGCTACCTGAGGGACAAGGACAAAGCCTGCCCCAGCCAATCCCTACATTGTCAGTGGCTTGATGTTCATTCACATCCTTCTGTCAGATGCTGGTCCCCCGGTTTGCCATTGCCAGCAAATAGAATTGAATGCAGGTGTATCTGCCTTGAGGAAAACCTGAAATGCAAGAACATTGACATTTGAAGACAAGCTCAGAAATGGATAAATGATTAATCCACTCTTGAAAAATACTTTGCAAGGCTCCTTTAAGTAGCAGGAGAGTCTCTCAGAGAAACTATTGATTTTCTTTCTGCCTACAAACACCGACCTCCAAAGATATTACCTCAAAGATAAGGGGTGATCACTCTGTTGCCAAAGGATATTTTTCCAGGTTCCAATGAGTGCCCAGTGAGTTGTTTTTGCGTATACATTTCTATTGTTTTTCTGCTTACAAAACTTATGCTTATTGTGAAAATGCAAACAGAAAAGAAATAATGAGGGGAATGAAATTCCCCGGTTATCTCCCTTTCAGCCCCCATAGAGATCCCATTTTCCTCCACAAGTGAGGTCTGGTCCTGTGCCAGCACTTTTTATGTCTGATTCCATTTACATACATCTTTTCAGAAACACATTTTGTTGAGTGAAACCAGGAACAGCCAGGACCCCGCCACTATCTGATCAGATCGCTAATGTCTGTGGAGCGAAGAGCAGTTACAGCCTCTAAAGCTCCCTGTTTTTAAGCAAGAGAAAATCAAAGTGACACGGAGCTCTGGAAATGAGCCTTCAGAATATATCCGAACTGCCACAAAATCTAAAAGGACCGCAAAGACCATCTGCCCCTGCCACCAAGCCCTTCTGGGGACAGACTTGGCTGCATTTAAACTTCTCCCACCTCTGTTGGAGTCTGAGTGTTTCATTGCCTTGTTTGTTTGTTTATTTTTGTTTGGGTTTTTTTCTCATTTTCTTTTCTTTTCCTTTTTATTGTTATTTATATATGTATTTATTTATTGAGATAGGGTCTCGCCGTGTCACCCAGGCTGGAGTGCAGTGGCGTGATCACGGCTTACTGCAACCTCCACCTCCTGGCCTCGAGTGATCCTCCTACTTTAGCCTCCAAGTAACTGGAACTACAGGCATGCGCCACCAGGCTCAGCTAATTTTTGAAGAGACAGGGTGTCGCCATGTTGCCCAGGCTGGCGTGTTTAGTTTTGACAGAGATGGGACACTGCACTGACAGTTGTATGCTGTGTTTGCTAGTGGTGGGGTGATTTGTGTCTGTTCCCCACCCCTCCCATCCCACCCCAGGGTCCCCAGAGATGGGTGTTCACTTTCACTTAAGCTTCTGCCATTTGAGGCCAGGCACTTTCCCCTTGGCTGCCTGAATTGACATAAACAGTAATCAGGTTTCTGGAAGGGGCCTCGGGGCCTTCTCAGCCTG